GAACCGTGACCTCCAGCACGCACTGGGGGGGATTACAGGCGAATGTGAGGCAGTCGGGTCAGCACCTGCAAGTCTGAGGAGTGTGGTCTTCAGTGAGGGTAAGATGGAGGGTTGTCAGTGGGTTGGTGCACATCAGCAGTACTGTGAGCGCTGTGCCGTTGTGGTTAAGGGCAGGGCTGGGTACTGAACTTTAACACTTTAATGGCACCGACTGAATGGTCTCGATACTAGCGAATACACACAGAGACGGGGCTTACTGTTCCTCTGACCACCAGCTGCTTATCTGCACAGACAGCTAACACTAACTTCACACTGCTAATCTGAGCAGGCACATGTGGAGCTGCCAGCCCTATCTGCCATACTGATTGTATTCTGATACTGATTTCCTTTGATAAACACCATACAATAACAGCCTTGTTAACGTGAATGAATTATGTGCACAAAAACTCCAGAGAGCTTTTAATCTGAAGATAAACAGGAAGTTTTAGAGTTTAAAAATACTCTCTACCATTATTTCCCTGGACCATAACTAACTGTTTGTTATTAATGTTCCTTTTGACAGCTATCTATATTTACAGATAAAATAGGTTTTATATAGTTGGAATGATTGAACCCACCTCCAGTGAAAACTGAGCCGAAAGGCAAAGCTTTCATTTTGCCGGTGGGTTTATGTTCCAATCATCACCGTTAGTCTCAGATTTTGACTGAAAGAATGAGGATGTGGATACAAGAGGCCAAACTGAGTTTCCTCCACAGGATGTCTTGGCTTAGAGACGGGGTGAGGGGCTCAGCCATCCACTGCTCCAGCACTGGGAGGGGGCCAGTTGAGGTGGTACAGGGACACCGATACCGTTATATTTGACAAGATGTTGAGCCACATCTCGGTTTAGGATTGAACAGATAGACATTGACTGCTGGCCAAAAGGAAAATGAACAAACAGAGGTCAGTTTGGAGTTTTGGAGCCAGTTGCCGGTATGTCTGAGAACTTTCTAGACGTTCGCACTGGGACAAAGAGAAGAACACAATAAAAACACAGAAAGAGAAAAACATTGATGTATGAATCCTCAGAGTCAAACTTCAAAGGCAGACAAAAACTTGTTCACAGGCTTGATTCAAAAAACACTTTTTATTCTAGTGTAGTGCTCTTCAGGACTGACACTTGTCACATTAATTAG